ATAAGTTATTTTTCTTTCAATCGCCTCAGACTGCTCTCACATTTCAATCTCTTTTTTTCTAGGTATATTTAAACATTATCCTCCGCTTAAAATCTATCGCTAACAGTTGCTCGGATTTTTCTTATTAAATGAAAAATATTGCATTTACTTTCATCTGAAATATAATAGATGTATTAAATATGCAGCGTTTATAGTTTTTATCATCCCTATAAAAATATTTTCAATTTTATACAATGATATTAAATAAATTGAAAGATTAAATGCATTTAAATTAAATATATTTATAGTTGAGTTTATTTAGATTAAGAAGTACGACTGCTTTGAGAACATGAGATTAGCTAACACTCTTATTCCATCGGTAAATAGAAATGGTTGAAGAGAAATACTAACAGCATAGTTTACTATTCGAACAGCTCTCTTAGAAATCAGATGAGAGGGGATTTTTCCGTTATCGATTACAGAAAATAAAACTTTTATCAATAAAATTTTTAAGTTTTATTCATTTGAAAAAAGATATGACATACATTTAAAACAATTTTTAAGACATGATCAATAACTTTTAATAAAATATCATTATAAAATTATTAGTAACAACTCAACATCTCATAGACCGTCTTATTATTTTACGAGTTTTTTGAAAACAAAATTCCCAAATGTCTCTAGTTTCGAGGCCGTCCAAGCAGATACGAAATGTTTGTACCATGATATAAAAAAAGTTATTATGAAAATGGTTTCCTGCGGCATATGATATAACATAGATTATACTATTGTACTGTGATTGTAGTCATATATAATAAAAGTGACAACAACGACCGTGTTTATAGTCCCCGCGCTAATGCTCGTTACCTCCTGCGGTAGTTTCACGGTGATACACACGAAATATTTGACGAGCAAAAAATCTCCGGATAACTAACGCAAAATCTGCCTTAATAAAAATAGTGGCTGAATTATGTATTTATTTTTTACAATAAAATAAGTACATTTAAAAAGATTATAAAAGAAAACACCTATTAACTTTGAAAGAAATGAAAAAATACTTTATCAAAATTATTTTTGTTTAAATTAAAAAGAATGCAAAAAAACTGTATTTACTCCTAGATGTATATCTAATTTTGATATAAGTTCGAAATGGTCATCCTTCATAGTTCGTGTACACAAGTCATGTCATATCAGCTACAAGGTCCATGTACCTAATAAACATTCCATCACGTTGACATCGGCAAAATGTTCATTAATGCCAGTGTGAATGAAGCCAAAGCATTAAAATAAAGAAAAAATATTACATCAAATTTAAACGGACTACTAATAATTTTATAAATAATTCAAAATAAAAAAATGTTTAATTTTTTTTTTCATTTTGCATTTGTATTTCAAATATACCTATTTAACATAATTCATATATTCATATATATATTCTCCTTCTATATATATATAAACGTGATATACTCACATATATATATGTGCGAATGTCACGTTTATTATATTCATCATATTGATAGTTCTTATTGCAAACAAAATTCTCAAATGCTTAACATATTGTCTTACAAAAATGTTTTCCGTATGATTTTTTTTATACTTCTTGGTATCGTGGGACCTGTCTTAGGATATTTATATCTTGTACGTCAAGGAAAAGCTGGCACGAAGAATTGAATTACGGAACCGTCTCCTGAATCGGCAGTAGACTAAGTTAAAGTGGCATGTGTTTACCTCCCCGGCTTGCTCACTTGTCTCAAGAGATAACTAGCAGACTATAATAAAAACGATATTGAAGGATTAAGAAGTCATTACTTTAAATATATATATTATATGCTTATCATATTTTATCCTATTACATTAACTACTATTTTATTACCAACTAGAACTATCTTCTAAGTGCACTTGTTCATTTATAAACTACATATAAATGAAACTTTATGATATTATTCAATTAAAGGTGACAATAAAGTTATTAAGGAATAAATCTGTAACTATAAGAAATGATTTAACATAGCAAATATTGTAAATGATGCAAATCTTTGAACTGAAGATCTTAGCATGAGTCCAATTATATTAACAGTTGAGATGTATGCATTATTCAAGCATTCGATTAAAGCTGGGTTGGGTCCTTTTTGTTTTCCATCTCAAAGGTTCTAAACATGAAGGTTTAATGGAGATGAAACGATAAGTCATTCAGTTTAAATTTCATCTAGGTTTAGAGGTTTTACTAGTTACTAATAAACACATTTATATAGTTGCCAAATTGCATAAATTATTAAAAAAAACCATGACAGTTATGTTAAAATATTGTGACTAAATTCAATTGTTACTAATTTTTAGATTATCATATCATATTATGTAAAAGATAAATAAGTTAAGAAATATACTTAATTCTGCATTTATTATGTATGTATATCAGTTTGAAACGAACTTACGAATCCCACCAAGACGCTTAATGAACAGAAAATTAAGGAAATATGTAGACAAAAGACTTTTAATTAAAAAAATATTTATTAACTTCATTTTTTGATCAACAAAAATGCCATCTAAATAAACTTGTACTTTAGAGAAACAAAAGAGTATTAAATAGAATACAGAAATTAAATTATATGTATAAAACTTTCAACTTGTTTTCATGATGGTTTAAACATCTAATTAGGAACTTTGGACACTATGACAGTTTATATCTTATAACTTTATAAGGAATATTATTAAGAAACTCAACTTCAACTTTAATAATTTCATTTGTATTTAGTAATCTTCTATATCAAAACTTTTAAATCTTTGTTTTGATATTTACCTTTTTAAATACTATAGATAAAGTTTGGAGATATATCAGGTTATATATCAAGTTAATATATCAAAATGTAAAAAAAATGTTTATGCCTATTTCTATAGTATAAATCTATTTCTATAATATAATTCTTTATATTCATCGTTTTTTTTTTCAACTTTTCTATTGACACTAATAATAATTATTATTACTATCCATGTATGTATTAATATAAATAACTGATATATTTTAACAAGAAAGTTCTTTAGATTTATATAAATATAAATAAAAAAATAAAACCGAGTTCGAAATTGTACGTAAATAACTTACCTATGTACCTATAAACCAACATCCCCAAAGACCATACCATCAAGGTCAATAAATATTGCGAGCTCACTAACGAACTCATTCGAAATAGTTTCGTCGTGAATTTATACGTAGTAGAAGTGGGAGCGAGAGGTATAACTCCTAAATCTCTCTATAACCTTCTAAAAAACTTGGGCATGTCCAAAACTCACATTCTTGGAACGTACTTCGAAGGTAGTCCTAGTAGGTTCTTTTCAAATTAGGTAGATAGGAGCTTAGACAGTGTAGGTGAGCGTTTAACGCTCGTTAGATAAGGGTCTGTTAAAACTACATATGAGTTGCAAGTCCCAGGCACTGTTGAAGCTCCTCTCCGTGCAACGTGATGGACCCGGCGACAGCACGGTGAATCCATTGAATGTTAAGAGCTTTCGTCTCTGTTACGAAAGAATATACCAGAACTAAAAAAAATATACCTAGCAAGAACCTTTGTCTTAAATAAACTCACTTTAATAAAGATACCAACTAAGTATTTTTAAGGTCGCTGCCTACCAATTTTCATAGGAAAGTACGAGGTACCTAAAGAAAATTGGGTACGTCACTGCTAATCAAATTCAATACTTTTTCTAATTACCCAAAACGATAGTTTTCTATAAAATTATTATTAAGGCATTATAATTTATAATAGCACTATAAAATCCTTTCTGAAAATTCCCTATATCCAAAACTTCATATTTTGATGAATCTTGCAATATTCCTTAAGTTGAACAATAACTATTACAACAAAAAAAGAATTATCCTAATCGGAATTTCAGTCAGGAGATGTGTGCACATATACAAAAACATTCATACATACATAGACTTTTGAATTTTAGGCACAATAATTCATACGCTGATATAGACTAATGTAAATTGGGCAGTTCTGAAAATAATATACATATAGGTCGAATTGACGACTTTGTTTTTTTAAGTCGGCTAAAAACTGAAAAAATATGACAATGTTTTTTATTAATACTCCACCTAATTCACGACTCTTGTTCTCTGATGTTTATTTTTATTACTTTCAAACGTGTACTTAATCCGACGTCCATCATATATCACGCTATTCATAATAATAATATTTACAGCTCATATAATTTATTTTCAGTGGGAACACACTTAAAATGATATATAAATTTGTATTCAACATCATAAAACACTTAAGACCCACTTACAGCACACATATCGCTTTGTTTTAATATCATGCGTCTTGTTTCTACCTGAATGAGAGCCATTTAAACTTTCTTGGGAGTCTAAAGCTCTTATTTGGTTATTAGCTAAGAACAATACTAGATTGCTAGATAGAATTTAATTAGGGTAATTTAACTCACCAGACTAAATTGTAAAATAACTCAAAAGTACATAGATTATATTTCAGATTTAGACTATGTTCGTTTTACGTAGTTCAAAACAACGTTAATGATTAATATATATATGTCCCAGTATTAGAGCGTTTCAAAATCCTTGTTCGTCACCCTAGTCCGACATGGTAAATTTCTTTTTAATCGATCAGTGTTACTATCTCTCACAAATAGACGTAACTTCTTGGCATTCCATGGATACATCACGTTACAGGGAGAGGTTCAACAACGCCTGGGACTTGTAACCCAGGTGTAGGTTTAAAGGGGTCCCCTATATAACGCTCGTTAAACGCTCACCTTCACTGTTCAAGCTCTTCTCATGACCTAAATATTATGAATAATCGAAAAATAATTGCATAGACTTTTTCGTCATAACCGACAATATATAAAATTAGAATCAGGGCCTAATTTATTGTTTTCACCTGTTCATTTCCATACGACAATAGTTCAATCTTGAAGATCGCTATTGTTTCCCTTCGATATATAAAGGGTGTATTGACATTGAGAAAGAGTAAATGAATTAAAATAAATTAATATATTTGTTACAGACAGCAATTTCGTGTTGGGTAACGCGCAAGTGCCGTGTTACCCGATCGTGTATTGCTCTGATGGATTCTGCGAGCTGACAGGTTGGGCTCGGGCGCACATTATGCAGAAGGGATGCGCCTGCAAGTTTCTTCATGGACCCGACACGATGGAAGAACATCGACATGAAATAGACACAGCCCTGGATTCAAAACACGAACTCAAACTGGAACTTATATTCTATAAGAAAAACGGTAAAATAAAATTTTCATTAATTACTTTCTCATTATATTAATTATATAAAACGCAAAGGATTTTGTTGTTCGATTCTGTACAATTCTTAGAAATGTTTTAATGGTTTACAACGAATCCCGTTGGCTGAGATTTGTAAACAACATCCTTAACTTTTATCAATTATTTAAGATTATGCTGACTTCCAGTCTTAATTTATATACCGTCTTAATGAGCACGCTTGGTTGGAGCTCATTAGTATATAATAATAATTTATTGAGCTAAGTAATACATATATTTTTGTAGAATGAAGGAGCACGCATTGTGTTCAATAGTTATTTATTATTAAACGTTACACAATATACACAATTACATATCAACGTCCTACATTTTTTACAATATTTATAGGAATACAAAATTTCAGAGTCAAATTATTAGATCTCATATTAAATGTATAAATAAAACGTATTCTCTATTCTCAAATAATCTATTGTTACAAATTTTAATTGGAATATACTCGATTTACAAAATAATAAAAAATGTATGTAAAGATATTAGATATTTAAATATATTCGATCCTACGTCGAAAACACTGAGAGAATATTATTCAAAATTATTTGTTAGTTAATAAATTATATAATTTTCCTATCTTCAACTAAATTTTGCTCTGATTTTAATAGAATTCTAATAGAAATGTGAACTGAAATTGCTTTTACATCCAATTCTTAAATATTTCTATTTGGAGAAAACTTTTCACTAATGTTGAGTAGACAAGAATATTTTTTGGAACATTTCCAAAAAAAATCTCTTTCTGGTAAATAATTACGATATACCTGAAACCACATTCAAACTTTTCAATTGTTTTAATCTCCATTTAGGTTGGATGTCGAGTAAATTACATTCGATGCTAATATTAGGTCTAAATAATGAGTTTTGTTTAATATAATATAAGACAGCGACATGTAATCCAAAATGTACATACCGCTGAGAATTTAACGAAGTTACTTTTCAGATTACAGTTTACAAGTAATGGTACTAGCCTACGATAAATACAGATATATATGTTACTTTAATATCTATCTCGCATTAAAAATATTTTAGAATATATCATATTATGATTTAGTATATTTTTTATAAAAATGAATTTCAAATCAATAAACCGATTTTAATTATACTCTGTTGAAATTAAAAACGAATGATAAATATTAAAACAAAAGAGAAAATCAATCTGCAAACAAAGACTTAAAATGTCAGGCTTTTGTAAAAGCATTTACGTAATGAAGAGTAAAATAATATTTTGAATTACAAAATCATTTAAAAACATACAATTGTTCATGGGATTTTATAATTTCAGTTATATTTTATATGAATATTGGATACCTCATAGTTTTTTTTATTAATTTATTATCTTTTTATCTAATTTATTTCCATCCCTCTATATTGTATGGTGTAATCTAAGATTAATTAACGATTAATGAGGAAAATAAAAGATTTATAAGCTTCATTAGGGTCTCACATAGTTTTTATTCTGAATTAGTTAAAAAAAAATTATTTATTTACTTGTCATGAATATAACATTATTTTGTTAAAGGTAAAATTTACTTAAAACCCATCATCTTTAGTTTTAAGTTTTTTAGTTTATTTTTCAGCTTACGTGAATAAGACCAAATAAATACACGAAATAAAAACAAAGACACTTTATAGCAGATGTTTTAAAATCAAGGTTTCATAAATTATAGTGGTAGCCACAATCAAATTATCTTAAAATATATTTTTCACGCAGATTTACAGCTTTACAGTATAAATTTAAATCCTTATGAAAGCGCAATCGTAAAGAAAACCAATAAGAGATTTACGATTGCATTCAACAAAATTAAACTTTTACAGCTTAGCTTGTTGTCCTCGGAGTCTGGATTTATAAAATTATATAGATGGAGCTAATATCGCTTCTCACAAAGACCATTATGACATTCAAATCAATGACAGTCGGGAAGCAATGAAAGGCCTCCGCAGGCACACATGTAGATATAGCAATCAACAAAGTTATTCAACGGATACCGAACTGAATAACCATTGCTAGGTTTCAAAGCTTTCCCAAAATCAATATTATTCGATATGACAATGGATTTTCCCTGAGAGATATATTAATGTGTCTAATAAAATTCAGACATACATATAAACTTGGACGTAGTTTGTAAGATTGGTAGGTAAATTTTATTCAAAAACAATTTTTTATTTACAGGGACCCCTTTCTGGTGCTTACTTGATATCGTCCCAATTAAAAATGAAAAACGAGAAGTGGTTTTATTCCTCGCTTCGTTCAAAGATATCACCAACACTAAGATGGCCGCGATGAACACTAATGAGGACTTCGACAGCGGTAAGTGCTTGGAAAAATATAGTGAATTTTTTTTTGGAGAAACTTGAAAATTTCATAAAAATGTACTTTTGTAGTCCTCCCAAGAGGAGTTATGTTTAGTAATATATCTTCCTCTTGTATTATCTGAGCTCGTCGCTCTAGTACTATAGGTGTTATAAAATTACCATAGCCCCATAGAACCCAGAACAGCGTAGCGAGTTTCGCGCATCATGGCACGGTAACGTTTGATTAATATGTTCAGTAGAATATTCTATAACAATTCCATGTTTCTAATGTAGATGCAATATGTAGCAGGAGTTAGTGATGTAGGAATAGTATTTTCTTATTTTCTAGAAACTTGTCTTGATATAGTTATTGAATGTTTTATTAATTCGTTTTTAAACAATATTAGATATGATTACTTAAAATTGTTATGTAATAATGAGTGTAAGAAAATTTTAATATAATCTTCAGTAGTTGTTGTTGAATTACTTGTTATAAACCACCCTGTATTTTTACGTATTTATTATTAATCGAAAGTATTATATATACATTTCCTGTTACATATTATGTAGAAGGTATTTAAAAGAAATGAAATAGTTTGATAAATATTCGTTATTCGTAACCCATTTTTTACTCATCATTTCATTTCATTTTCGCTTTAATGTTCATCTTATTTTTACTTGCAAACGCAGTTTCTGTTAAGCAAACATTTACTGAAATATTTGCTGAAATTTCATGAATATCTAAATTGATTGATCACATTTCGTCTACATTTTGCTAAGTTTATATGGATTTTAAGTTTTTTATTTAAAATCTAGTGTGGTTTTGTAAAATAAATTTGGTTAAGTTTAGTTTTTTTTTCCACCGTAGATAATTTTTTAAGTGGTCTTGTTTTCATAATTATATTAAAGTAGTCTGTTCATAATTTTATATTTTAATCAAACTTTCAAAATTTTTAAAAAGATATAAACATGTTGAGTAGACTAGGCGGTCGAGAGGCAATGTTTTACATCGTCTTTTTTGTCTACTTTACCTGGAACCGAGTTTATTTTATCTTGTTTCTATCTTTTAAACTTGCTTTTTACGCTAACAGGTGTCTATTTATTTTTCTTCTATTAAGTTTATCAGTAAAAAGTGTCCCTCCATCGAATTTGTCTTAAATTACTTTTAAGATGAAAATATAAGATAGAAATGTAACTGACCTTCTGAAGTCCTCCATTTCGAGATATCGCTTATTAAGGTTAGAATTAGCATCAATTGTATTATTTTTTTATTATAATCTATGTATTATAGGACAATTTAAGCCAAATGAAATTTATCAAAATGGCCTGTCCTGTTTTCCAGTTTGGAACATACATTATTTACTTAGATTTAAGTTAACATTACCCTTCTTTTTGGCTTTTTCGTAGTTGGGTAAAAAGTGTCCTTGTATCAGTGTATTATTTTTGCTTACGATCTGCTTAAAAGCAATAAACAAAGTGACAGCAAATTCAAATTCTTTACCGCCGTCTATCCTATTTACAAGGTCCCATTTTGTTGTCACTTCATCAATTTCTTGTTATAAATGTACCTGATTTTCTTTGAAAGCGTTCTCTTTATAAATGGAACCTTTTTAATGGAAGAACAGAACATCAAAATATTCGTTTCCGTTGAGCTCACACAGATTTTTTTCTGTTAATATTCATCACGATTACCAACATGAAAATTGAAAGAATTCGTTGATCCTTTTTTAATGCTTGCAAAGAAAATCTCGTTCATACATTTTCATTTGTACTTGTACAATAAAATAACATGGGTTCCATCATACGCTATGCTTTTAAGCGGAATTGCTATAAGAATCGCAATCGCTTCTTTATATTTTCATAACATGATTTCATTAACCATTAAACATACAACGAGGATTAAAAAAATACCTCCTACAATAAAACTTTGATTTGTATTATGATATGGAAGCATCGCGTATGGTTGTGGCCTAAGATGGCACGGTAATGATAGTAACAGGGTGGTTTGTGCGTACAGGAGCCGCGGTGCGGCCTTCGGCAGGAGTGGTCACTCTAGCGTTATCCCCATTTGTACCCGCAGCGGCACTTTTAGGCGCCAGGTTCCGAGCTGAATCTAGTTGCCTACTTCCAGACCCGAATGGCAATCTTGACCCCGAAGCGCCCTCACCCGCCAACATGGGCAGACGGCGCTCCAGGGCAGTTCTTTACCAGCTTTCAGGACATTATAAACCAGATAAAATGAAGACTAAATTAAAACTCAACAATGTTAGTAAGGTAATTTATAATAAAAACTAACCTGAATTCACAATGCAAAATAATCAAGCTTTTCACAATCATTTAGAACAGGCTGTATTGTGTCATAATTACAGAACATTTATTATTTTAGAACCTCCTACACTCATCTGACCCTCCGCTGCCTGAATACAAAACGTCAGCTATAAAAAAGTCAAGATTTATTATATCACATTACGGCATTTTTAAAACCTTCTGGGACTGGTTGATCCTAATAGCAACATTTTATGTAGCTGTTGTGGTGCCATATAACGCGAGTTTTGTTGATGAAGGTCATCCAAGGATAAGTGTAACGAGCGACGTCGTTGTCGAAGCCCTTTTCATTATAGGTATACGTTTCACCAATTGTGAATATTATATTCAGGAATAATATATTTCATTTGAAGTTTGCTTGGGCTTTATTTTCAGATATCGTTTTAAATTTCCGAACAACATTCGTGAGTAAGAAAGGAGAAGTAGTATCGGATTCAAAAGCAATAGCTCTTAATTACATCCGCACTTGGTTTGTCGTTGATCTTCTTGCCGCGCTTCCGTTTGACCTACTTTATGCATCAGACGTATATAGCGGGACGGTGAGTTACTTTATACCACTAATTAATTTAACCAGCCCAGCTGTTTGTAATATAATTGCTTTGATTTCAAACGCTTACTGGGTTTCTCAAAATGCGATATTTTTTAATTAATTAATATTTTTACACTTTGTTAAGGTGTGTTTTTAATTCTATTTCATATTTTTAAGGAGTCTACACACGGGAACGTTCATCTTGTGAAATTAACTCGACTACTACGTTTGGCTCGTTTGCTTCAAAAAATGGACCGATATTCACAATATTCCGCCCTAATTTTAACTCTTTTAATGTTATCCTTCACGCTAGTAGCACATTGGCTGGCCTGTATATGGTTTATTATAGCGGAAAAGGAAATTCAGCATCATAGAAATGAAAGTTGGGATTTAGGTACGACAAATAAAATTTATAATAAATAAAAAAAAAAGGATTTTTCAATTCTAAAAAAATCTTTCTATGAACGCTTTTTAAATCATGAAATATTTAGGAACTGGATTCGATTGGATTCGTCCGGTCTTTCAGTGCCATTTGAGTGGTTGATTGGAATTTGACAATGTTGTTCATTTAGACTGTAATTGGGTGTTCAAATCAATCTGAAAATTTGATTGGATGATTTTTTTTTTAAATTTTGATGTACATTTTTCTTTAAAGGTTGGATTAACAATCTGGCTGAACGCCTGAAAGTACCCATAATGAACATATCCCATAGCGAGAGCTATGTTACTGCCCTCTACTTCACTTGTTCGTCATTAACGAGTGTCGGTTTCGGCAATGTATCAGCGAACACCCTACCTGAGAAAATATTCAGCATCCTTACAATGCTTGTCGGAGGTAAGAAATTTGTTTTTAAGAATCACTATTCATAATAAAATGAGACTCAATATTTTGTACTAATTGCTGTTCATAAATTTTCAATCTCAGTGTAATTAAAACAGAAAAGCTCTTGAATAAACGTAGTTTTAACTGAGATACCATTAACAGTGATTACACAGTTCGTAACTCTTCACAGCTTTAATGCATGCGGTTGTGTTCGGTAATGTGACTGCAATTATACAAAGAATGTACTCGCGACGATCTATGTATCAAAGCAAATGGCGTGACCTCAAAGATTTTCTCACTATAAACCAAGTTCCTAAAGAACTTAAACAGCGCATGCAAGACTACTTCCAAACGATGTGGTCACTCAACCATGGCATTGATATTCACGAGGTAAAGTATAAACTAAAACCCAAAATAACTAATTGAGATATCTATATTAAAGTGTTTACAGTTAAAACTTTATTTAAAAAATAAAACACAAGGAATTGTAGTTGTTATTTATTGTAAATATATAAAGTATCACAAATTATGTGAACGTAATTCCTTGAAAATTTCGTGTCACCGTTTTATTCAGACTTGACTGAATTAAATGGCTTGGAAATATGAAACGGTCAATTAAATAAACACTTCCGAGGCCGCAGTTTTTCAAGTGATATTACTAATTTCAAGCTTTATTCAGAGTATACATTTCCCAACATCACAAGATTAACTTTGAGAAATAAAAAGTATATAATTAAAATAATATTTCTGTACATTTTAGAGCCAATATTTAATAAAAAAAATATTTGTACTGTTTTAGACCCTCAAAGAATTCCCTGAGGAATTACGAGGAGATGTGTCGTTACATTTGCATCGGGAGATATTATCACTTCCAATATTTGAATCCGCGTCTCAGGGCTGCCTGAAACTTCTATCGTTACATATTCGAAACAATTTTTGCGCTCCCGGAGAATACCTCGTTCACAAAGGAGATGCTCTAACTTATATACACTATATTTGTAACGGTTCGATGGAAGTTATGCAAAATGATATGGTTGTCGCTATACTCGGTGAGTGAGTCTTTTGATTTTATGAAACATTTCATATTTATGAAATGATTTCATTAAAAGAGTTTTTGCCTCGACAGGAAAGGGTGATTTAGTAGGATGTGACATGAATACTCATTTACAAGTCCACAATGGCTCGGGAACATCGCAATCTAATAACCCCGACGTGGTCGTAAAGTCAAGCAGTGATGTCAAGGTAAAAATTACCATAAGTATGAATAGAATGAGGAATAAATAAAATAATTCTATGTTTATTAAATTTTATTTATGAATTTTAAAATGTTCTCGTTGTAGGCCCTCACATATTGCGATTTAAAATGTATCAACATGGTTGGTCTAGGTGAAGTTTTACGACTTTACCCGGAATATCAACAAGAATTTGTTCATGATATATTACATGATTTGACATACAATTTACGAGAAGGCTACGAGGCTGAGCAAGAAGAAGGGAACGGGCATCCATCTCTCACTCTACCATCAATTTCAGAGGATGATGAAAATGCCGCGGAAGAAAATGCTCTATCGCCGAAAAAACCTCTATTATCTAGTAGTAGTCCCCGTCATACAAAATTCAGGTACTGTTGTGATTAGAACAATAATTAATAGGTACATTGTGACAAGGAAGAAATCATAATATGATTTATATTTTTTAAACAGAACTGACGGACAACCACGATTATCACATAGGGAATTGCGAGAAAGAATCGAAAGGCAGCGGTCAGTGGCTACACCTAAAATTACTCGAGCCGATTCTTTGGAGGGATTAAATTTAGAAATGCATAACACACGCTCTTCAGTTGACAGACTTGACACGCAAGTGTCGAGCTTGCATCATGACGTTGCCGCTCTCAGCATGGAGGTGAGTATGAATACTGCATTAACACATAGTACATTTAAAATGTAATATGTATAATTAATATTCAAATACTAAGGTTCGCAACGCAATACAAGCTCTACAAGAGATGACAGGACCCGTGTGGCACGCAGCACACTCTAATCCAAATTTACAATGGAACACTCCGCCTAATCAACTTGCCAGAAGTTGTAGTCACCCACCTGACGTATTTTGCTGGGATCAGGTAATAAATAATAACTTTCGTCTTCCACATTTAGGAGTACATATATTTTAAACCGGAATTAAAATCAGTTGTTATTCGGTACATTTATTTTAGTACCCAAAGTGATTTATTTTTGTACATTTTCTGCAGCAAGAACGCCCTCTCAGTCCTGAACGGCCAAAAATAAATCGAAGTACGCAAACCGAACCGTTTCTCCATTGCGTTACTCAGTACATACTGGAACATCCAGCTACTGTCATGCTTCTGTTAGGATTAGACCCTATGGCAAACCTAGCGCCAGTGATACCACCAGCGGTAGAGTATTATGACACGAGAAGCAGAAGACCGAGTGGTCTTGAGCAAATAATAGAATCCGAAAACGGTAGTCAAACACCATCTAGTTCGGCCAGTGACAAAGGTGAAGCGGCGAATAGCCCCATTGGAAGTGAAAAAGAGCTGGACTTGCAGACGGATAAGGTTCGACCGTTAGATAAAGACAGAAATTTAAATTTAAAAAGGAACAGATATTCTGCTAGCGATATTTGTGAAGTATCCGAGCGGTTGCTGCCATCCAGAGCATCTCCCAGCACATATAGCCTTAAAAATAATGATAAAAGTTAAGTGGTCATGATTCCAATATGCTCATAACTCATTAGTCAATACATGTTCAAGTGGACTCTTGGTGTTACTTTAATGGGATACTTTCCTGTTACTATCAGCCAAAGTATTTAACATTTTTTCTACTTTGAATATATCACGAAACTGTACATATCATGTCGTTATCTGTATAATTTATCAATAAATTTAATACTATCATCTAGTCACCTGATACATTTTACGTTAAAATAATTTTCGTCTGTTGTCATCCGATGTTATAAATCACAAACCCTGTAAGTAATGTTTAGGTAATAGTCGATATTTTTGAAAATATTGTTATATTAGTGACATCTTTGTATTATAGTGACTCCTAACCTCATTTCATGTCTTTCAGACATATCTTTGTGACAATATTTAACTGAAATAAACTATTTCTATACAGCTATATCCATATAAAGTTTAGTCACGATTTAATTTTTTATTTTTAAATCCAATTAAAAAAGATATTGAAGTATGCTACCAGAAACTTTATTACATCAGATTTTTTTTATTGCTAATTTTAAAACATATGTATGTTTAATTCATTCAACACAAAGAATTTAAATCGTTTGTTTTAAATTAATCGAATTTTTGATATGTCCTGTGTATTAATGTAATTTTCTATACAAATTATTAAAAATCTAAATGTTTGTCAAAATTGTTGCCAAAGTCAATGTTCGTAGTTTTTAGTGTATACATATTAAGTACGACATATTATAAACAATCTATTCCTAATTAGATTTATCAAAATATGATCTCTTAATATTTTTACTAATTTATAAAACTTTTTTGAGCATTAAATGCTTTTTTCGTGTACTTATTATATTATTTAAGTCTGTTAAGTCTAATTAATTATTCCGAATATATAAAGTTTTTTTATATACAGTATAGTAAAACCTTCCAACGTGTAGATAATCTTCTATTGTATGGTTCTTGTTTTAAAAAGTATTATATGAGCAATATTATAGTATGATATTGTAAATAATTAATTTTGATTTAAATAATGTATTATTTTCATAGAAATTATATCATTCAGCAAACCTATCTATGATTAAAATTCAGAATAATCTTTAAATTTAAAATAGTCTTTTATTAATGTATTAGTAGTAGTATGCCTGTTCAGTCGGTGTTATAGTGAAAGAAAAAATATACCTATATCATACGCTTCTATTTCATTTATTTTTTTTGATAGTTTTCGGACGTCAGCCGGCTTATATATAGTTGGGTTGAAATTGTATATAAAATAATACATTTGGTTATATACTAAGAAGTGAAAATATTTATGAAAAAGTTTAAGACATTCTGAGACATTCAATCTCATGTTCTTATTTCTTAATAAGCAGGGACATCCCTACAAATTAAATATTATACCTCATTATGTAACCAATGTTTTTTTTTTCTGTAATGCCGAACGAACGGGTCAAATTGCATGTGTATTTCATAAAAACTATGAGATTTTAGATAATAATTCTTTAAAGAACGGAGACGCTTACTAGAATATATGAATTAGAATGTGGTGTACGTTATACTCGTAAAATCCCACGAATGTGATATGGAGAAGAACACGTGCAGTGCCTAAAATCTTATTTATTTACATTATAATTCTTGAGATTTATCGTGATCTTTAAAACAACAGGCGCATGTTTGTGCGTACACATATTTTTTGTACATAGACATTATTAATGATCTTTCTCTTGTAGTACAAAGTTAATTGTGTAAAGTTAATAAAGACAATTTGATGTTAAATCGTTGTTTCTTTATTTCATTCCGTAAAAACAGTGTAAAATGCAGACGAAAGATTTATGTCCTCCTAAATGCGCAACGCCATTTTTTGTTTGTCACTTCACATTGTTTAGCACCAATTTGAATGAACCCGTTGAAAGAAGGAATAAATCGTTTTACTTGTGAATTGTATGAAATAAATTATATAAAATAATTTGAGTTATTTCTTATATGATTTGTATTTTAAGGTTAGTATAAGAAAAAACGTACCTAAGTAACAAGTCATTAAAAACTAATATAATATTCTAAACTCAAACTACGGGGGTGTTTTACAACTCATTTTACTACATCGAATATTAAATATAACTACCAGATATATTTTCAACAATTTCTGTTGTCTGTACAATATGCTGCAACTACATAGTAATTTAAGTTTCCAAAAAGAATCTCTAGTATCTGAAAATATAAAAAAAAACTAAATTTGTTGAATATTATGTAATTGAAAATATTAATTTTTAAAGCGATCAACTAAATAATGTTTAAGTAATAACTTTACATAAAAAAGCCACTTTCAATTAATTGTCCGTCTTTATTTTTTACATCAAACATATCTTAAAACATTCTTAATGTATAAATTCAGTTTTATATTTTGTTTGCTTAAATACAATATTGCAACAACCAGTTTTAGGAGACGACTCGTAAAATTTAATTCTGTGTCATGCTATGGTCGAACGGTTACTGCCTCAATAAATTACCGCGACCAGAATTTAAAGCATTTTCCTATATAACACAGCAAACAGTTTGTAATCATTAAAACATTGTACTCGGTAAACTAAACTCGTTTTTAACGTTATATTAAATGTCCCATTTTAAATATAATATTAAAAACACTTCTAGCTTTAAGTAATGGAAGTTTTATTGTAAGATTTTTAATATTTATAAATAATGAACGGAGATGCTCCAACAAACTTATTTAAAGTGCTTTTAAAAATCCGTGTACCGCAAGGAATAAAAGTTAAATAGATTGATTTTAAATATTAAAATGAAGTGTTCAAAAACATTAAAGAAGTCTTACAGACAAGTAAAAGGCACATACATTTTATCATAATTATAGGCGTATTTTAGGAAAAAATAGTATAAGACGCCAACACTGCATATTAAGCAAGGATAATTGACAATTATTAGATTACCTGATTGAGTTTGAAAAAGGTCTATATTTGTATAAATACATAAAATCATGCTCTGAAATGTAAGGGCGTCGAAAAGTGAATTATTAATAAGGATCGGGAGATAACAAATTTATTCAAAAAATTACTTTTCCTGATAGGTTTACTTGATTTCAGAGCTATGACGTAGGATATTAAAGAAAATAGGAAGATATTGCCAATAAGTTGGTATGATATGAACTACTTTGAAATTTAAAATATCTCTATAAACCCAGACAGAAAAAGCAATTTTTCCTGACTGATTTAAGAATAATCCCCTTTAACTGTTAGGCATTTAATTTATTGGCAGCAGCCACGTGATACCTCAATTTAATTGGTAACATTTTTGAGCTAACGATTTTATTGCTCTTCAGCTAAAGACTCAGAGATAAGTACAAATTGAACAGACACTGCCATGAAAATTTCAATTAAAAAATGTAAAGGTGCTGAGATAAATTTTATCAAAATCCTATCCAAAGGCTGCCAGTCTTTTAGCGACTATAATTTACTTAACTGAATAGAAGACCACCTAAGAGCAAGTGGCTTCCTATTCTCAACGCCGGGATATTCATATGTTTTCTCTTCTATATTGTAAGTGTCTTCCTCAGGAACGACGAATTATTTGTAAGGAAGATTTAGTTTCCTTTGTGTTCAGAGTACCGCGCATTCATCACGATTTTAGTTATTAAATGCCTCATTTTATTACCACTTCCTATGAAATTAGTTTACTGTTCATGCAATTAAATGGTGGTATGTTTTGACACTATGTTCCTATATCAATATGTGTATAATATACGTATGCCTAATAAATACAATGTCTATTTAATTTTCTTCTGGTACATAATAATTGAAGAGTAATAATTAATTTGCAAAATAGTTTATAAATAATACATAAGATTTTGCGAGTATTCATTTAAAAAGTAATATTTTCGAATGTACTACCCGTTTTTTAATATTTAAAACTACATATCTACTCCCGACGTTTCGGTTACTTTTCTCTTTGCAGCAACTGTGATCACGGGCAGACGAAGTATTATGCTCTGGAAGTTTATTTTTTTTTATTTTAAATTGAGACCATTTAAAATCAATGCTTCTGATAATTGATAAACTGCTATGCGTGTATAAGGATATATGTTCTATAATTATACAATGTTTATTAAATATATTATTTGTATTTAAATATATATCTTGTTATTTACAGTTAAAATAATCGAATAATTAAGATTTGACTTACAAAAGTGTTGTCGTCAATTATTTGTCAAACGAATGTCTAATACGCTATATCTTCTATATATATAAAAATGGATTGCTGTTCCTTAGTCTCGCTAAAACTCGAGAACGGCTGAACCGATTTGGCTAATTTTAGTCTTGAAATACTCCTGGAAATCCAGGGAAGGTTTAAAAGGTGAGAAAAATTGGAATAATTGCCGGGAAAACCCTAAAAACAGCCCTATTCTATTTCCCATACAAAAGTTTTTTTTGACATTAGATTTGACAACTAACTAATATAAGCAATAATTCTGTTTGATTGAAAAAGGAAAAATTATTTAAAAAAGGATTATTTATGGCCTCTAAGACGGAATAGAGTTTGCCTGGTCAGCTATACCTACATATATTACTCTTGACCAAACTAACGCGGACGAAGTCGCGGGCAAAAACTAGTTATTATATAATTATATTGGAGTCAGCTTTGTTTAAAAACTGTTAAATCTTTAAAATAATATTTTATTGTATTTAGAATATTATTTCATTTATAATTAAGGAATTATTATTAAAAAGTAAGAATAAGACTTAGGTACAAAAGCGGTAACATGTCAAATATGTGTTTAATATACTGTTAAATTGGAACCCGCTTTCTAAATATTATGTACTAAAATATTTTATATTATTTAAGAGTTATGTTTTCATTATATATAAGATTTATATTTTCAATATATATTTTGTTACAATTAAAAAGTAAATATCTTGAATATCGTGTGGTGTTCGGAGGACCTATAAAACATTGCTCTTCGCCGAGGCAAGGGACTTGACATCGGACAGCAGCCTGGGCCAGAACTT